TTCAGTAATTCTCACTTCCATTTCCATAGTAATATAACTCGAAAAATTTAGTTTTTCAGGAAGCTAAAATGATGCTTTCGAATGTTTAATATAAGAGACAATATTTTATTGACTACAATTATTGAGCAAAATAACATTTATAAAATAAATAGTTTCATGAATTGTCAAGTTTTAATTTTAAAACATTTGCCTTTTTTGATCTTATAATACATATAATACATATAATATTTTTCATACATATATATATATATATATATATATATATATATATATATATATATATATACACATACAAATCCCAATTGTTATATTTTTAAATATAATATTGAAGTTCAATTTGTTTCTCTCAAATTATTCGAGATATTCTATTGTATAACGAACGAAATCTGTATCAAATAGTCTTCGTTATTAAATCAATAACAAACGAATATGATTTAATAATTGCACAAAAATACAATCGACCTGTTCTACTCTAATATCTCCTTCTATAAATTTATACAAATGAGCAATGTATAAAATTTAAATATAACTATGAAATTTAAATATAAATTAAATTTGTTTCTTTTACATATCTTGTATTAATCTTTCAATAAAATTACCAAGTGTGTCATACCACATATAACAAATTAAGAATGCGTTAAATACATATGCTTTGATAGATTTATTCAGTTAATTAATTATATATAAATACCTCAGACTCTAACGATCATATGATATTCTAGTACAAACTAAAGGTTAAAAGGTTAAAAATGTATGTACTATATTTAAACAAGTGTACACACTTACAGTGAGGAGCATAATTGTATCAGTGACAATGACAAAATGTCGATCATTTAAACTCATGTAACTACATAAATACGTAACTGCGTAATATTATACAATATTTAATTTTAAAGCGTAAAGTCTCTACTTTGACAAACGTGAGTACATTTTTTCGAATCTGATCATGCAGCGGGAGGGTTTTTTTCCCTTGAAAACTATAAAAACAGTAAAAATATTTTCGTAACTAGATGCACAAGACTACAGTCTTCTAAATTGAAATGTTCTTTTTACAAGGGCAATTATTTTTATGAGACACAATTGAAGAAACTAAACCTGCCTGGATATTTGTTTCACCAATTAAATGTTGTACTTTGATGTTTTCATATAAGTTTGCATATTACATATTATATTATATTCTTGCAGCTTCAAATTTCCCACAAATGTATAAAAATTTGCAATCTAGTGATGGATTACTTGAAATGTTACTAATAATTGTACAGTATGTATATAATCGAGGAAAACTATATTTAAAAAAAAAAAATTTATTACATCTTTAATTATATAAAATAATAGGAATTGAATGAAAATTTTTTATTTAATTAACTTTAAGTTGTTTTAACTTTCTAGTTCAACGTTATATAAAATTGTCTTGAAAATAAAAACTCCTGGAAAAGAAATTTTTTATATTCGTAGTAGACACGTCTGTATTAATTAAATAAATTGTTTTATTTTTTTGAAAATACTGGAAAATTGATTTTTGGATTAAGAATTAAGATTCTTTTCCCATTGTGTGACAGCCGGCAATCCAGTATTTTTTAAATTTCTTGTTTTAACTATAATTTTAAACAACGAATATAATGAATATAAGTACTAATAGTTCAATAAATCACGTAACTGACAACGACAAATATGATTTTGAATGCAAAACAAAGTAAATATTATTTACATTGGCCGGTCTTTACTGACTTTAATGAATTTGAAATACAAAGGTGGACAAAGTTATTTGCAAACTCGATGAAAATATTTTAAGCTGTTTAAACAAAATCATACAACAATTGTAAAACATGCGAAAATCCAAATTCGTTTCTAGTATTCTATATATACAATATAATAATAATATATGTAATATATGTTGCAATTTCCCTCTAATTTTTTAAACACTTATAATCGTCCAAATGTTCTCGGTTTGCTTTTGTTTCGAATATCCAGGTTGATTTACATATTTTGTTCTGAATCAAAAATGTTGCAAAATTTTCTGCATCTATTGTTTGAGATTTCATATTCCATTATTACATATAAAATGATGTACGACTAAATTGATCAGCATTATACAAAAATAATATTCATGATATCACGTGCTATCAAAGAGAACGTGATAGTACATAATGTTACGTGATGATAATAATAATATATTTTCTCCGTAAATGGCCTTGAATTAATTGTGCGAGGCTTAATTTTGCATTCCAGTGTATTAAAATAACAAATTTAAAAAGATGTATGTTAATATATACTTATAAAACGTTGGAACTTTTCTAACCTTCACTACCATGGACGAGATATCTCCACGTCTGTTGTGCAATACCATTACGAGATACCTTACTTCATATCAACGCTTCTATTCCAAGTTGATTGCATTACAATTTCACTCTTACCGTCCTACTGATGAAATATTTCGCATCACAATAATGTTTTCACCTCTCAATGGAGAGGATAGCTTACAGTCTATTGACAATACGAATGATAATAACAATATTTTGTACCTTCTGTAAAATAAAACATGAGATAACTCACATCATCGGTGTCAACACAAAAGCGAAATTATGAAGCGAGATAACTCGTCAGTAATATTGTAGAAGTGGAGTATTATAAAAGAGTGTTATCTCATCGTATATATAAAATTATGGCGAAATATTTCGTTCATGGTCGCAAGAGCAACAAGAATCGAAATTCCAAAGAAAACCAAATATTATTTGACAGATAATAGTACATATTCATAATAAAGTATAATAAAGTAAAATATCGTTTGTATAATAAAAAAAATAGAAAAATATACAAAAACATAAATATTACATTACATCAGATTTTTTTTATTGGATTACTCGAATTTACGATTAATTATTATTTCTGAGAAACATTTTGAATCTTTTCTTGAAGCATAGAAATTCATAACCAAGAAGTCATATAGCTGCGTCACGCTGCTAGGACCTGCTTTCTACTGTGAAGTAAATGTATAACGCAGTACATTAACGACGATCAATGCTCATGGATTAGATGAGTTATCCAAAGAGAAAGGACTAGAATTAATTCACCAATTAAATAAATAAATTATTTTACATTTAATGCGGAATGAATAGGTTAAAACATTGAGATATTTTTAATATCATGCAAATTTCGCAAACGAATACAAGTATAATTGCACTTTATTATGTAAATAATTGTCCAATATAACGATTTTCCATCAAAGGTTCATGTTCCAAACAGATATTATTTGCCTCTATATAATTCGTTCTTAAGACATAATGTTTGGAATGTAAAATCGGAAAATTCAAAGGAGACATTTTAGACGGATTGTTAAGGTCAGCAACGACCGTAATTTGTGGTACGGACGTAATTTAAGCTGTAACTACAAATTTTATATTTTTTAAAATAGTGGGTGCAGGCACTAGGTCTGCATCCCAACAGTACTGTTACAAACGAACGGCCCTAGTAAATTACGCTCAGTCCTTATGATGAACGGGATTCATATGACTCCGGGGAAAGTGAAAGTTTCAATTTCCACCAAAACTTCCTTCCGCAGCATACGATTCTCCGTATTCTCTCCCCAGACAGTTTTCCTGGAGGGGGAAATACCCATGTCTTCATCGGAGAATACTTGGGAGTAGATACAAAAAGGATTCGAAAGAATGCTCATCGAAAGAAAAAACGGAATAGACACAGACTTTCATCAGGAGAGATTGGTAAAGACGCTCATTGGGAGCACATTCGGAAAGAAACTTGTCTCGAGCAGAATGAAAAACCTTGAGGTTCTTGAATACACGTCGATTTCAGTAATACGGTCCCACATTACCATGGGTGGTCCTTCGGGCGTAGAGGGTTTATCGCGATGGCCCACGAGTGCGATATTCAAGTTTAGCGCGAGACGGTTTGTTCGAGTTAGACTTAATATTTGGTTCTTCGAGCCGGATTGATAGCGTTAGACTTGATACGGATATTATTCAATATAAGAATACTAAATTTAATTGATAATTACGAGTGATACTAATTGTAAACAGCAATGTTTTGAACAAATTAGAACTGATTCTTAATGATAATAAACGAAAGTTAAATTTAACCACATAGAATGAACTTAGGTACCAAAAATAAACATAATACTACAAATCTATATATCCCTAAAACTTAATAATTTTTTAAATGTTGAAATTGGGAACTTGAATGAATATTTCCAACGAATATTTTCTTAGATTGATACATTATAAATGACGACGAGCGTAGCAACCAAGGTTGGTATGTGTGTCGTCTGAATGTTGTGTATTGATAGTTAGGGAAAACAAAAGAAGAACGAGCAGTAGTACGGTGTGTGCGTCTAAGCTGTGATGAATAAAAAGAAACGCTATGTGCAAAGATATAAAATAATTTCTTAAGTAACGCTTATCGAATTGTTCTTCCAACAATCTCCAACATATTTAACAGTTTTTAACAAATAATCTCTGTAACGAGCGAATAAAAAAAATTTATTATTTGAAAAAGTTAACTGAAACAATTAACGTTAATTTTGTCCATCTTACTCATTGTCAGTATTAAAAACCATAAGGAACAAAATCTCCTACAATCTCTGGTTACTGGCTCATTGTGGTATATATTTCAATATGGTAAATATACACGTCGTTTTTACTATAGGAAGGAAGAAATTTGTTTTTTACCGTGATTATATATAAACCATACCAGCAGAAACGACTACTCATCAGACGATTATCTGTAAAAAAATTGATGATATTATACTTTTCCTCTGAATTGTATATTTGATTGATAAATTAACGCATTTTCACTGTGTAAAAGCTAGCACCTTCTGTACAATTTTCTCCTTCATTGCATTTTATCATTATAGTAATTAACAATCTACTACTGATTTGAAATCGATTCTTACTAACACGTGCAATTAGATTCGTTATTTGTTCCTAATTCGTTTTAGAATGTCAATTAATTATGCAAGTAATTGCACCTACTGTAAAATAATAAATTGCACAATATATATTTTTCCTTTTATCTTATTCTATTGTTGCATGAAGTTCATTAATTCTTTGAACGAAATGAATGAGAAACATATAAATAACTAGAGATATAATGTATATATGCAGATATTCCAATATATTAGGGAGATAAACGAAATAACGCACATGCTACATTTCGACAGAAAATTAGATTAAGTTTTTCTGATGAAGAAAATTATTGATCACCGTTAAAAGTTTCTTCAATTCGTTGTAACTGTTGCTCTTGTTATTGTTATTAAATTAATTTAGTGCAATAGTACTCAAATCAATTCAAAAACGTTCATTCCTCTGGTAAGCATAGCAGACACAAACGTTTTTCAGATATATGTCACTTCGTATCAAAAAAAAGAAAAAGAACATTAATTTTAATAGAATATATGAATGAAAAGAATATTTAAAAATGTGTATCAGTACAATATTCAAAGACTGTTGACGTTGGGAAAAATATACATATTTCATCATTCAAAGTAACCATAAATATTGTAGGTATAGGTATACATACCAGAACATTAGCGCAAGATATTAAACATTATTGGAAAATTTCGACAATGTTTTTCATTCAACATTCTAAGCAATATTATCCTGAAGTAGTCTGGAAATCATTTCCATCAATGCGATCAAAGAAACAATAAATCACTATGCCACAGGTATTGGAAGATTCATTTATGCTAACTCTTGATATTATGATATTATGAAATTTTTTTATGTTTTCTAGTTATCAGTAAAAAATGCAGTGAACAAAAGTTCGTTCGATATGGCCATCTGCGAGCAAAGTATCGTTACGCTCAGAGGAATAAATTCATTAGAAACTTAATAATGAAGTTTTCCACAATAATTTTCGCAAGTCATATACATATGTGCAAGTGTGTATTGACTTATTGAATTAAATATTACTCTCGAAGCATTACATACGAGTAGATTACATTGCACATGCTTATATGTTAATTCATTCTTTTCTTAAAGATAAATTAAGTATCTGAAACACAACTTCTAATTCATCTACATAACTTTATATTAGCATTAATATATTACGCAATAGTCATATTTAAAGTAAATAGTATGTTTCGAGTGGAAAACTTAGCATGCAAAATGAGATATAGAAATTTGACCATCTTTATCCCCGACTGTCAATTGTCTCAACGCAGAATTTAAGGCTCCGGATGGCTTACCATGATGACTACGTAGGTATTCAAAGAACAAAGTGTTTGATTCTAGATTTTAAACAATGGTTAATTTGAGACAATAATTAAGAGATAAAGTTGTAATGGTTCTTGATGAAATGATTGACGAAATAATAACAAATCTTTGAATTTTAGATTCAAATAGATTAGAACAGAATAATGGAACATATCTCATAATAGCTTTATCTCATAATATCTTTTTCAAAAAAATTTAATGACATTGTAGCATATTGGAATTGATATAAAGTATTGTAAGATTGAAAACTTAAAATCTTTTTCCATTCTAGGAATCGTCTGCTTTTCATCCCCAATTTTGTATTTTCTTACACAATTTTGTATTTACTGTATATTCTCTCTAGATCTCCAGGGCAATATCTGGTGGAGTTAATTGTGTCACGATTATGGATATTTTTCTCTTTTTAAGCAGTATAGTACAGTTAGTATTCATTATTAATGTGTATTCAACGAAAATCAGAAATTCTTTTATATTCCGTAAGCACACAAAATAACTTTTAATTATTCGTATTTGATGTTGCAGTATTTTTTTGAAATTTGACCCATATTGTGAAACTATTTCAATATATATATATCAGTTCTATAATAATTTGTACCCGATATATTAAAGCAGAAACAGTTTCAAAATAAAACTATTTTCATTTCTTTCTTTTACAGTGGATCAAGAAAGATTTACATATTTCTAATATTTGACTACTTTAGTGACTCTTATCCTATATATATTCAATGATGTTGTGTAAAAAATGAAACAAAACAAAAATTATAATTAAAGAAATATTGATAGAAATTATTGCTTTTAATTTAATTAAACCTTACCTTGTATAACCTTATTTCGTTTGTTACACATCTACAGTTCAACATTTACTTCATATGCTTTTTGCAGTATTCTGAGAAATTGTTCTAATTAACGTATGATTCATCATTTGTCATAACAAGTATTCGTTATTCCATCGATTCATACATAATTTTGTATCCTCTATATCCTGAAATCTATGTTCATCATTTTAATTTCCGTTAACGTAAGAATTTCAAAATTCAATTCAGTATTAGTCCTTCTTCACACGAGTTTTTTCCGTCACAGCGAAAAGTATCGAATTTAGTCACATCAGAGAATATTGTTTCTAATAAATAGATTACAGATTCATACCTTAGAGAATTATTCAATTAATTAATAAATGTGACAGAAAGCTATTTTATACGGAAATTATAAAAAACATTATACTTTAATTATTTTACATATATTTATATTATGTGCATCATTAGATATCGAGATCTCTCTTAACATTTTTTTCTACAATACGTAATTCTGAATACATATACATATATATTTTTCGAGTTTCTTAATCATTAAAATCGCAGTTATATGCGTGATATTTCAGAATTATACTTATATGCACGATGAAGACTCTTTAATGACTTATAAATAATTTCATTCATAAATTGATCGACAACTGTTAGGCAATGTATCCATTTGAATAAAAATTGCAAAAAATTAATTACTTACTAATTGTTTATATTTTTCATTATATCAGATTTATTCTATATTCTATGTATTACTTTTGTTACTTATTCTTTACTTTACCAGATGGCCACTGAAAAACTGAAGGGTTTGAAAAAGTCATAACTTGTTCACTGTTAACCTTTTTTATTTTCTTTTTTTGTAGATTATAGAGCATCCCTTTGAGATTAAAATAATTACGTATAATTTCCAGCAACGAGTAAAACTTATTGAGTTTTTCTATTCCAGTGAAAGATCAATTATTAAACAGGTACATCAACAAACAAAACTGCAGATTTTGGGATAATGAGAATCCCAGGGGATTACATCAGCATTAACTGCATTCCCAAAAATGCACTATTTGTTGTGATCTTATGGTTGAAGTGGTGAGTTATCGGCCCCTATTTTTTTGAAAATGAGGGAGGTCAACTAGAAAGAATCAACGGGGCCCTGTATAGGACAATGCTTGAAAATTTTTTACGCCCAGCGGTTGAAGATAGTCAGGAAGTATGGTTGGACTACTGCGCAAGCTGACAGGGCGACGATGGATCTCCTGTGAGAAATTTTCGGTGAATTTTCAAAATATGCTAAATTTGTTTTTTCTTTTAGTTTAGCCCATCCTGTATTTACGTATATATACGTCCTAGAAAACATATTACATTTATCATATAATTATCATTTGAATAAATAATATTATTATATACATGTTAATATTATTATAATACATGTTATAAATGACAATTTTATAGGAATAGAATTTTATTGAGATAGAATTTTTGTTGTCCATAAAACAGGTTACCGAATTTTCATACCTTATTCTAATGTCACTAACTAAGAAATAATATCATATAAATATAAATTTTTCTTTTTTGAGCAATTTGGACTTCTATTTATGGGAGTTGTTTAAAACTTTTGCTTATGACAATACTAATAGTCTGAAAATAGTCAAAATCGAATTATTTTCTTACATATTCCAAACTTGGAATACACTAGTAATTCTTGAACGTTTTGAATAGTCGATGAGAAGCATGTATCTTTAGCAATTTCTTTAAATAAATTATATATTCCTATAGGATTCATCGTGGTCAAAAGATACTTGAATCTTGCAATGGAAAAGTTTCCAAACTTATAGTTTCATCTTATATGACTTTTTCTCTTCTTAGTAACAATAAAATACGTTATCAAAGTTTGGTCTCTTTTTTTTGAACAACTTTCTGTCCCTCTGACAAGGGACAATTTGAACAACATTCTCCTCCCAAGAAAATTTTTTAACACACATAAACATCATCGAAACCGGTGAAGATTTGATTCAAGTATAGATTTATTCCCGAATTTTGTCGATGAGCAAAGGAATTTTGAATGATTCGTTTGAGTTAAAGATATCATTGCTGAACTTTCTCGAAAGCTCGAAAACTATTTTGGAGACTAACATATCATGAAATCTCGAGATCTATGATATTGTGTTCATTGTTATTCAATAGCAGAGCAAATTTCAAATTCTCTAATAATCTTAAAAAATGAGAAGTTCTTCTAACAATAAACGATTGCAAAACAAAAACAAATATGCAAAAATCTTAAACTCAGAAGTAGCAGAAAATCATAAAAATCATTAATGATCGAATATTTAACTATATGAACTTATAATTTTATAAAGAAAACATTCATATAATAGTAATCTGGGCTAATTTTAGAACTTCAAGCTTCTATTTTCAAAATACGTCTTTCATTTTATCGTAAAATATTTTTCACGTAACGGGTGAACAAATGAAGATATTTTTCTTCTTAAAAATGCTATAAATTATCACAGTACGTAGAAGCATAGAAAAATTTCGTTTACAATTGAATTTCCAATGAATTTGAAGATGGATGCGTCCCTCTTATAATAAACTCAGAAAACTTGACGTTTGATCTTTCATTGCTACTTCACTAATATGAATATCGGAGTAATATAACGAAAATTTTAAAAATCGTAACATTTCCGTCTGATATTCAAAGTTACATAAATTGGAAAAGAAGAACAGTAAGTTTTAAAGGGTTGTTGTATATTTAATCATGAAGAAAAGTTTTTAATATTTTCACGTACTATGATAATTTATAGCACAGTCGAGAAAAAAAGTACCTTTCACTTTGCAATTTGTTACATAATCTAAAATCACATTTTAAAATAAAATGAATAATGTATATATTTAACGAGTATATTCACGAGTATTTAACGAGTATTTTCAAAAAATTATGACAATTTCAATATTAATGGGAACCACAATATGTAAATTTTGCGTTTGCATCATGGTCGGAAATATTGATTTCGCACTATTTATTATCATCTACGTATGATTATTCATTGAAAAAGTATACTCAATTATGTTATTAACTTCATATGCTTGTAACAGTTAAAACAAAACAAAAATATTCTATCATAGTAAAAAAAAATAGCACTTCCTGTAAAAAATTTTCATAAAAATGTTACAGTTTACAGGATTTATAAAAAACTTTGCGATGTTTATTATGTCTAACACAAATATTGCACAGCTCGAGGAGAAGGTCTTTAATACTTTACAAAACGAAAAAAATAAAATGCATAACAGAGCAATAATTCCGATTTCACTTCTCAAACGACACAAAAGAACTGACTCTTCTTTTCGTAACTTGTAATTTTCATGCTGCACGTACGTTGCTGTAAAGCTTGGAAATGCGAGAAAACACCTGGGTTTGATTGACACTTTCCCCTATGCTATGGAGACAATTTTTTTCTTAAAACTCAGCGTAATTGTGCGAAAATTGCAGGAAAACAGGAAGAGAAAGAAAGTAACGTTTCTTCTTGGAAACATATTTATTATTTGCGCGCATCGAAGGATTGTCATTTCCCCTCATGCGTAATTTACAACTTGTGTCACGCGATAGTGTCAATATTTTTGTCCCTCTCTTTAATTTTCTGCGAAACGTGTAAAGCCACGGTCGCGCCCAAGTCTTTTCCCGACCGTTGAATAGAATGGACTACGTTGGTTACAAGTATTATAAACTCCTGAAATCTTGCTTTCAAGATTGTTATTCTGGAGCATAGCTTGACGTTGTTTCTTCTGAAAATTTTTTTCAAATTCTTGTTGGGTATGACCGGGGCAACGTTTGATAGAATTACTCTTTGGGCCGGAGTTAACATTGGTCTTAAGTTTAGCATGTTGTTGTTGACCGTTATTGTTTTATGCAGATTTGTTAGGTGTAGCACAGTTTCTTTTTTATCAAGATATGCGCAAATTCGATTGTTTGAGATTTTGGAGATGTACCTTATTGATTTAGGTCCGATTAGTTTCCCTATTACAAGGGCATAGTCTTGGAGGCTTGTGTCGTCTATTGCGTGGATGATGATAGCTTGGTCTTTTATAGATGATACCTCAAGTTGTGCTGCGTGGGAGTATGATTTAATGGAGTTGTTTGTTTCCGTTAGGTTAGAAAATTTGGAACTCCTGTACTCAGAGGTCCCCGCAGGTTGGTGTTAGTTAGTCGGTGTATTCATTCCTGTGGTATTCCTTTGCGTTGAGGTACGAAATTAGCGTTTGTTTTCACTAACATTAACACTATAATAATATAGATTGGAACTCGTAAGCGACTATATCGGACGTCCGTATGGTACGACGGCTAAACCGAGACTGAACTTTGAATTTTAGGTGGAGCAGTCTCTGAAAAATAATGGAATATGCTTATAGAGAAATATTTCCACAAAAAATTCAGTGATGTCGTACATCTATATTGACATATAATAAGTACATGTCTATTGACATATTTACTTAAAAAATAAAAACTTAAAATTGTAATTCATTTCAGAAATCGTCAGATTCGCATTCCCAACTGTATATTATCACGTTTATGGTATATTCTGTCTAGAGTTTTGTCATTATTATGAACTTCGTTGTTATTACAAGTATTATAATGTTCAGTGTTAAAGTATTAGATATAATACAATGCATCTCCGATGAAAGTCAAAAATACTTCTATATTCCGTAAGTACACAAAATAATTTTTAATTATTGGTATTTGATAACTTTTTAACCGCTAATTAATCGCTTGTTCCTTTATTATTCTTTATATAAGATTCATTATATATATGATTGTTTATTCGTTGCTTGAAGTCACATATAAATCTTGAAAATATGTATTTACTTTTCAAGAAAATAAATAGTACGAAAATTGAAAGTTACTTTGATACTATTTAGTTCTTTGGATACTTTCCAAGAAAATAAATGCCTTGGAAAATTTTTAAACAAAGATGCATTGTTTACAAATAGAAAATTCTGAGATATGCTGTAGTATGTCCAATTATATCAAATATTACGTTTCGTTAACTAATCTCAATATGGTTTTCTCAGGTATACTGTGGAATGGTATAATTTATCATTATCAATACAGAAATTGCTACTTTTTATTATGCAAGGAAACCATCACTCAGCAGTTATTAAATTTCTATGGTATATGGGTACCTACGTTCGAAAATTTGAGCACGGTAAGAAATATTTTCATGAGAATTCAAAATACGTAAAATGAGAAAGATATACTTTTTCAGCAATTCAAATTATGTTGGTCCTTCTTTATGCTATTGTATTTCACTCAGAAATAATGACATCGACACAGAAATAGCACATTAGTGGACCATACGAAAACATGATATACAGTTGATATACGTTATGATTGCTACTATAAGATACTTTATATTAACTTCGCACGAATTTGGAATGTGTTAGAAATAATGCACCGGAATAAAAGTATACCTAGAGTTCATTTATTACGTAAAAAGCATGACTAAAGTTGTCATCTTTAAATTAAGTGCGCCTCTTTACCGAAAATCACAGGTTCTAGAGAATTATATATTTACTACATACTTGTATTTATATATTTACTTATTGCAAAGTTCTTGTAATGAAAGATCTTGCTTAATATTCTTTTTCATCTTCTTTAGAAAGTAATTTCGTAATTATAATAATCTCCTCAACATCCATTCTGTCCAGCAATATTATGACACTGATATAATTTCAGAATCCGCGTTTGAATTCAAAAGTTTGGTCCACGACTTTAGACACGTGACAATTGCTCAACAATGCACGTGGGCTATAAAGGTCGTTACAACACTTGTAGCCTAAAATATTGCCTTCAAATGCAGTAAAGACTATATAGGAGAAATATTGTTTGTCGTTGCTTTTGATTGCAGATATTCTAAATTTTCTAGTAATTTGCTTAGAATATCAAGGCCATTTTATAATTGTTCACAATCGCTCATCTAAACACTGCGTTAATCGAGTTGAAATCGAGTCTAAAGACCATGAATAATTAATTCATCTATTTTTAGTTGAATGATCGCTTTAACTATACAGAAATTTTGTAACTATGTTATAGAAAATCATATTAATCAACTACGTCCTCAATTAATTGTGTCTACGTTGTTTGAAATATTTTTTTATAGATATAATTTTTAATTTAAATATGTTGGTATTCTTGCTATCTACTTATTAAACATTTGGACACTTTAAAAACATAGCAGCAGTTGCGGTTGTTTATTTTTTTGGCTTCGTACAAAACTTCTTTTTTAATTTTCTATCTTTTAGAGACACTCTATCTTTGTATATTGCAAATAAGTTTTAGGTATTTGAGTGATAAATGTGCTCTTTTTTTTTCTTCGAGTAGAAATAAGTTCATCGCTGTAAATTTCAAATATTAATCTGATAACAAATTTTGATTCCAGAATAATTTTACTATATAGATGTATGCTAATCTATGTATTTATTTTTTTTATTTAATTGTATATTATAGAAATATAATAATTCTGATTGTTTCAGGTAAGTGATGGTTGTTTTTAGGTGCCAAAAAGTATAAATTGTATTTTTAACGAAACTTGAATCGGTTGGAATCAAACACAATTGCAAATATTTATGTTGCAATAAAGAACTTATAATCACTCACGTATATTGGAAAGTTTCAAATAAAAGTCTGAAGGACTGACAGAGTAATACTTAAAATATTATTATTAGCTCAAAATTACAAGTTATTCAATAATTATTCGCAATTATATGTCAATTTTGTATTTTGACTTGTAATCTTCCAGTGACGTTAGAAACACATTTGGTACATATGCAAGGAACTTTAACCAGTAAATGCAATTATTTTCAGAATTATTCGATATTTGACAAAATGTTTTTTACCAAATTTTTTTTTTTTGAAGGAGAAATAATCTAATGCAATTAGTTTGTTTGCAACTATACGCATGATGGACATATGAGTTAACTTTATTTTCTTAAATGAAATTATATAATTTTTCACGTATAGCTTGTAAATCGATCGGTCCGATCCAACAACTCGTTTCTGAAGCGGAGAAAGTGGCTTGCCACAACTATGACTATATTAATTTATAAATGATAATATATTCCTGTTTCCAATATCCCACAGACATTTTTATTTTAAAAAAGACAAATTGTAAACAAAAATTTAAGAAAGTTAAGGATAAAAATGCCTTACATAAAGAAGACATACTCAGATAAATATTCAAAAAATATTGGAATCATTTTGAAACGAATTAAGCGTTAACTAATATTCAATTCGAACGAAATATCGATTAAAAAATATTTAGTAAAATTTCTATTCTTTAGACATGTACTTACATAGAGATATATTAACTCGGTCAGATTAACAAATTCTTGATTATTAAATAATGAAACATCAGTTTTCCAAAAGTAATCCTATCCTTAACATGACGAACCACAGTTCTCAGATTTAAAAGCGCAATGGAGAAACTGACGAAGACAATGAATAAATGATAACATATGTACTAAAACTTGTAATACATCAATCACAAATATATGTAAGAAATCAAATTTATTTTTTCATGTATCGAGATAGAAAAGTCGATGAAGTCTATCTCGAATGTGTTATGCACATTTGTACAAGATAATTGAAAGTAAAATACATAATAGAATTATGAAATGCAAGTCTCACTATAACGCGTTAAAAAACTCTAAATCTTCATTTGCTCTTGCATGTCTTTATTACTTAGGAGACTATGTCATATATATATGTCTTCATATTTACGCGTTCTCCACTTCTTTCAGGAAGACTGTCCCACCGTTGTCGCTTCAATCTGGCTCAGTCAATGTCTATTATCAGGTAAGACTACGGCTCGACTTACATAAAAATCATTCAAGCCCCTCAAATTGTTCGATGCACAGTTATGGTTTATGTCAAGACTATATCAACAAACTATCTTCGAGACTATGCGACTAATTGTGAGTATCTTGACACATACTAAATTTGCCTAATCAGTTAAGGCTACTGTGTGCTTTCTTTTACTCCAATACATTATGAATCACAAATATTAAACGCACGAAAATATTTTTGGATATTGTTTCGAACGATCCCTTTACCAATCAAAATAAAATTTCGAGGTTGTTAGGAAAGGTGTGAAATGACTCTAAATATAGTATTTTAACTACGGAAACCGTTTAAAAAAGAAAGATAATTTTACAAAATCTAAAGAATGAAAGACAATAAGAAATACAGAAAGAAAACAACACAAAAGTTAGATGGCGATAACGTTGCTATAATTAGAGTAAACCACTACATATATAATATGTATACGATGCAGTTTTATTTAACTTTAAATGTTTCAGATATTCTAGATGTTTGAATTACAGTCCTAATATTTATTTTTAATGTAAAATGACTAACGGGAGTCATTCGAATCTACAGCCCACATTTTTAGTACAACCTAAAATAAATATTAGTTCAAAAAATGTTTAAACAAAAATTTTTAAAAATAAAAAACATAATGCTAACAGTACACGGACTTTCTTTTTCCTAACCGGCACCCATTTAACCCGAGATTACCCACGTGAGGGTCTAGTCGCCGGGATGTACCTGCGCTAGACCCCCAGGTGGGTAATCCCGGGTTAAATATTATCCGTGTCTAGTGCTACTTAATTTTGATGATCGGACAACAACCAATGCATTATTTACAAATTAGTTTATTGAGTATTGTCTAAATTTACATTGAGGTACAATTATCTCCAATAAAAGCGAAATTACAATTTATTTGATTCGCTTTTTAATGGTCTTCTGGACCAATGATGTCATGGTCTATTCGTCATGTGGCGTGGTGTTCGTCCGTATTCGTTCGTCTGTAGTGTGGAATGTCGGTGAGGTAGGGCAGTGGTGAGGTTGGTGTTTCGTGTATATCGCCATCAGATACATCAGCGGTGTGGCGACAGCGCCAGCCTTCCTTACCGACAAATGCGAGCGCTACTCTTCTTTACCGATCGTGGCGATCTGAATTCTATCCCGATCTTCCGGTTTTAACAGTTCGTTATATGGAGTATCAGAGAATGCCTCGCATGCAGAAAGAAAACAAAGAGTGTAGTTATATATCGCGTAATAAAGATTTTCAAAAAACTGAAACATTGTGTTCGCCCCATTTTATCCGCCTATTGCCATTAGTAAGCAAAAAGGCCACAATGGGACTGATGTTGGCGTCTTCTACCCCAGACGCATTTCTGGTTGTTAGGGCTTCTAGACCTCGAAAATAGGCACTTATCTAGGCAGGTGCGCACGCCGCGCACTTAACCTGACAATCGCCATCGATCCAGGTGCGCTCCACTTACCGTTAATGATTTTCTATCTTTATATGGAATATTATAGCCGTTACAATCTCTCGTTACTAGACGATCTCTAAGGCTTACAATCATGTATCACAACAATAGTTTGCATTGTTATTTTCTCCTTTGCGTATATTGATCTGATTTTAATTCTACTATTTGCATTCTACTATTATTTTACTATATTATCTTATTTGAATTCCAGAAAAAAATAATATTGCTTGAGTATTGACAAAAATAAGAGAAACCTGGATTTATTCTAATTTTAAATTAACATTGGTTTCTGTTATTCAAAGCTGTTTATATATTAAAATGTGAAACTTCTAGTTAGTGACTCTTCATTGTAAATAGATAATTATCTATAACGTGTCTTTTACGAGAATAGGTCAACTTGTTGCGTGAAAATGAAACTTCTCATATGTAAAGTACAGCAATAGGAACGGTAGCGTATAAAACAGACAGGCATGAGTATAAGATTGATATTAAATTTCCATAACCATCTCAATTATTTCTCAACGATTCCTAAAGACACGTTACTAGAGTCTAGAAAAGGTGTATCATAATGATTAACACAATTTCACCGTATAGAAACTAGTAATTTCTGTACTTTTCTTTCTTTCATTGTGAAAGCGTAGTAGTGAATAAACAACTATGTGGATCCTATAGACAGATTAAAGTCATATACAGTAGAAGTCAAATAGGATAAAGCTGTGATGAGAGCTCTTGCATGTCATAACAATGCTGATTTAGGTATCTATATTGCGATTGGACTGTAAACTTTCGTTTATAGGAAATTTTAAAGTGTAAAGAATACATAGAATACACATAATATGAAAGAGTATTACAAAATATGCAAAGTGCAGTGTTATTATTAAATTTATTAAATAAAACAATTCTTTACCATAATTCCATTTTATATATATATATATATATATATATATATATATATATATATATATATATTTTAAAAGAACATGTTGAAGAGCGTTAGGAAGTGTTAATGTGGGTGCGAGGATGACGGAAGGATGTAAGGATTTGGATAATGGTAAGAGGTAAGGTAAGGAAAGGTTGTTCGTTTCATCTCAGAGTCGCTGTCTAGATTCATCAGTGGAGCCGATGGCAGCAACTCCTTACCCCAAACGCTTGTTATAACTACTCGCTAGGCTAGACGGTCTCATTCATCCGAGTGGTGTTCCTCTGCTTAACAT